CCCACCTCCGCCCCCGGCACCGCCCTCGCCCAGCACGCGCCGTCCCGCGCACGCCAGCGCACGCATCGCGCCGCTGCACAAGTTACATGTACCAGTGTTACACACAGTGAGACTGGCTGTCATATATTTTAGAAGAATTCAGTAAGTATCTCACTATGGCTCGTTGCGCTCGAGATGTCCGACGAGAGAGACGAGCTCTGTCTCCAGCGTGGGGAACAGCTCGGCCATGAAGCGGCGCGTCTCCCCCGCCCCCGCCCCCGCGCCGCGCCGCCCCACCTCCCCGCGCTCCCCGCCCTCGCTCTTCTCGCTGCGCTCGCCGTCGCTGCTCTCGCTCTGATAACAAACATTGTCAAATTATACTTAACTTGTCAAACTCATCATTAATATAGAACAGTAATAATGACACAATATTTATATGAGTGCTAGTGTTCAAATCAATATTTTTTATATACCTTGACGTCAACATCTAGATAAAAGAATTGAGTGCAGAAGTCTTGTTCCGCATTGCACAGCTCCTCCACCAAGTTTAGAACCTGCAGCAGTACAACACGAGTATTAGTGGATTAATAAAAACATGTATATTTTTTTCAAACACAAGTAATGAGTTCAAGTGCTAACATGCTCTGACCTCGTCGAGAATGTCATCGGCGCGCTCGGGCGGCGCGGTGGCAAGCGCGTTGCGCGCGTTGTCGCACGCCGCACGTACCGCGCGCTCGTGCACGCGCGCCCACGTGCCCACGTACACCTGCACAACACTACTGTTCATACACAAATCTACAAGGTATTTGGTAATCACAATTGTTTAAAATATTTTAATGAGACTGTGCTACCTTAACAAGTCCATCATATGCCTTCTCGTCCATGTCCTTGAGCCATCGCATGAAGGGCGCGTAGGGCAGCAGGTCGGCGTGATGCGCGCGGTGTGCTGCGGGCGCGGGCTCCTGCGCCGCGTTGCCGAGGTGAATGAGCGCGTTGTTGAGGTGGCGGGCCAGCGCGGCCGCCAGCTGGTCGCGCGCTCGGCCCAGCCGCCGCAACCGGTCCCGCACTGCGCCCAGCCGCCGCATTGCCGCCTCGCTTGCACCGCTGACGCCCTCCGGCCCGCCCCGGAGGGCCGTGCGGAGCGCCTCCGCCGCTTCTAGAGCCCGAGCCCGACCCTCCGGCGTCGCAAGCGATATCTATAATTTTTGATACCTTATTTACTCAATGGTCAAAAAAGCTTAAATCCGAATTCTGCCAGCAAGTTTAACATTATTGGAGGTGTAACTGGCACAATTTCAAATAAGACCCACCTCGGAGAGTGAATCAAGGTCTTTCAGCGGTGGCGCATCCAGCCAGTGGTAAATCTGCTGCAGGTGTGCCAGTAGCGCGCGTGAGGCGGCGTCTGCGCGCGCCGCGTCCGTGCGTGCCGCTGGCCCGCGCGCCGCACGCGCTGCTGCCTCGTACTTGGACAAACGCGTGCCCAGCTGCGCGCCCGCCTCCCCACCTGCCTACATCAGATAAATTATATTTTTGTTAAAGAAATGATAGTTGTAAAATTGTCTATAATGAACTCAAGAGTGACACTTAAGAGTTTATAAACATATTGCACCAGACCTCGAGCCTTTCAGCAAGTCTTGCACCACCCCCTTCAGTGGCGGCGGCCAGCATGCCGGCCACGTTGAGAGCGTCGAGACGCGCCAGGCGCTCGCCCAACCGCCGCACCCACTGCTCCGCATCCGCCTCCTCTGCCTCCTCATCGTCCAGCAGCGCTGCCAGTGCCGCCTCACCTAGTGGGGCATTGTTCAACGCCCGGGCCAGCGAGCGACGTGCGTTCTCGTCAGTGCATCGCCATGTCAATGTCTCTGTACCCACCTCTATGCTTAGTGTGCCATCCTGGAAATCAGTGAGAGAAATTTGAATTTTTTTGTGGGCAACGAAACGAAAGCCCAAATGGTTCGATAGCGATTTTAAAATTAAAGGAGATAATATAAATTTCAATTGTATGACTCACTGGCAAATCAGCAATCAAGCGCACGGAGTTTAGCGGCCAGGATTTCAGTTGTGCACCACCTTCGCTGAGCTGCAGCGTGCCCTCGTCGCCACCCTTGCCCGTAAACACGCACAGCCTCTGCCGCCGTTCCTCAGCACCTACCACATCCGCCCCACACACCTCCCTACTCTCCCATTCTCGAAACAATCCCGGTTCTTCCAACTTCATTGTTTTCTAAGGTCAATTTTCACT